AAAGAAAACACATTGGTTTTAAAAAGTATGCAGTTGCATGTTGCAAATTACATATTTTTCTTGAAAGCAACTATGTGTTTTCTTTATACCAATTGATTCGTCTCATTATTTTGTGCATAAAAGTATTAAGGTAAGATTTTCGAAAATTGAATGTTTTACAAGATATTTTGTATTTTATGTCAAAATGCTGTAACTTTCAAGCCTCATAACTCGAAAAGTACTTAATGAAAAATAACTTCATTATAGTGTTTTGAAAAGCTCTTGACACCAGCTATTAGATTTTGGAATAAAAATAGGGGTTTTATTAAAAATTCGATTTGATCTTGAAATGATCTTGAAGGTCACGGGCAAGGCTAAATCTAAGGTCACCATCGGATTGCCCGAGAAAAATCCTATAACTTTTGTTGAGGTTTATTTTCCTCTGTGATGCGTATTTTTCAAATTATCCAGCCGTCCCGGAACTTTTGACACACGCTGTATATATTTCTTTGTAATTATAAGAATAAATTGCGCGCGTGTAACGATTGCGTTTGTCATGTGATAATAAATATGGTGATAAAATATAAATTTCAGTAACTTTAAAATTATTGTGAAACAATTCTTAAAATAAATAGTAATTAATAAATTAATATTTTATTATTTTCACTACCAATTCAAAGTAATTAGTAGTTCTATAAGAGTTTATCAAAATATATCTAGACCACATCCGGGCAAACTTGTATACTGCATAAACATAGGCTGCGTTCCGTAAAGCGCATATGCGCGCATGTATCTATAGTATACGTAACGTATACTGTAGATACATGCGCGCATATGCTCTTTACGGAACGCAGCCATAGTTCATAACACATTCTCTTATGCATCTTCCTATGGACTAGGCTTATACAAAGAGCATTTGGCGCTGATGTCGCTACTGTTCTGTCGCGTTTCTTTTCGTATTCTTCTCGCTTCCGTTTCCGCAGGGTTGTGTATGGTTTTTTGAGATTTTAAAGTTTTTAATCTAAATATCCATTTAATCTATTAAAATTGGGACATGTTTATAGAATTGCGACTTTTCTATCAATTATAAATTAATTTATTATTTTCTTACAATTAGTATAGATGAAAATCTTGAGATAAAAGTTTCACAATTTATCTAACCTCAACAATTCATTTGTAGTGTAGTGTTTTGAAATAATTAAATATTGTTACAGATAGGAATAAACAAGTCTAAAAATGGCCAAGTCGAAGAATCATACAAATCACAATCAGAGTAAGTGTAAAATTTGTTATAAATTAATATTAGCAAATCTAAAAAAAGTATATTTCTAAACAATAGTATCACAATCAAAATGTGTAATTTTAATGTGTATAAGATGATCTTCTAAATTATTGAAAAATTAATACTTTTTATAAATGAATACTTAAATTATATACAATATAATTATATATATTATAATATATTATTGAAATATGTTTTCTTTGCAGATCGTAAAGCTCATCGTAATGGCATCAAGAAGCCTAAGAGGTATAGGCATGAATCTACGCTTGGTGTAAGTTATAGTGAAACATTTTTATACTGCTACATATTTAAATAGATTTATGTTATAGCGTTTAATTAAATATGAATTATGTAAAATATTGTGAAGGACATGAAACATTGATAGATAATACAGATAGCACATGTTTTTAATATAATTTAAAGGTTATTGTAACTCTTAAGGTTATTGTAACATAATTTTTTAAACTTATACATGTATCTCATATGTGTATTTTTTGCACACAGATGGATTTAAAATTTCTGAGAAATCAGCGTTTTGCCAAGAAGCATAACCTTAAACCGAAGGCTCAGTTGAAAAGAGCAGACCAACGAAGGGCTCTTCGTGAAGCTAAGAATGCGAAATAAAGTCAATGTAAACTAATAATTTTATTAAAATAAATTAAAAAACACGTTTAAGACAAATTGATTTTTCCTCATTTTTAGTTGTAAATTTTATACATACTTTTATATTTTGTACATGTCGGTGTAACAAATAGTCAATGCCAAATGTAAATTTATGAAATGTATAATGAATACGATGAAAATAGCTCGAAAAATATCTAATATTTTATTCATCGGTTTATATGCTCGATGCTTGCCTAGGTGTATAATATTGTACAGTTGTATGTCAAAATGGCCGCAGAACATGTAGAGACGCGCGATGTCACAAAAATTATGAACAACTCGACGAAGCCTAAGAAGATTCTATTATTTTCTGGCAAGAGAAAATCGGGAAAGGATTATATCACCGACATTTTGCATAAAAGGTATTTAGCATTTATATTTTTTAAGTAATTTATAACTAATGAAGTGAAACTAACTAGTGGAAGTGTGATATCCGGGAGAAAGTGGATAAAATAATTAGAGCAGAGTAAAGAAATAAAATAAAATTATCTTAAAACACTTTTTTACTCATAATTAAAAGTTTGATCATTATTTACTAAAAAATTAACCAATTTATTTGTTTTAATAAAATTTGCTTATGTTAAATTCAGGATTGGTCCAGAAAAGAGCATTATTATACGATTATCAGGACCTATCAAAACACATTGGGCTAAATCTTTGAATCTTGACATTGATCAATTGCTGGGACATGGAAAGTACAAAGAAAAGTATCGACTTGAAATGGTCAAGTGGGGAGAAGATATGAGAAAAGAAGACTACGGCTATTTTTGTCGTGCTGCTATTGACATGTATAATGGTACGTGGAATATGCTAATAGGTCATACAAAATAGCATATAAGCAATATGCAATTGAATATATCTAAATAAACTTTTTCAGCATGGGGCAAGACAATATGGATAATAAGTGATATCAGAAGAAAAACTGACATTAAATGGTTTATAGAAAATTATGGAGATCTATGTAAGACTATACGTATAGTTTGCCCTGATGAAATTAGACAAAAACGTGGCTGGGTTTATACATTAGGTGAGAAAAAAGATAAAATTATAATATGATAATTTTAATGGGATTTGTGAATTTTTTAAGGACACTTGTAAATTACAATTTGTAGGCATAGATGATTCAGAAACAGAGTGTGACTTGGACGATGTAAATACTTGGGATGTCTTGCTGGAAAATGATGATGGCAATGATATAGAAACTATATTACAACAGTTGCTAGATGTAATTAGTTAGCACAAATTTTTTTGCCATGGTATGTGCACAATAAAGGACAGTTCACAATCTTCAACTTTTCTGTGTTTCCTTGAATGAGAAAAAATGTTTAGTATGTTATGCAAATATATATGTATACATTTACATTGATAGGTGGTAGTCATACATCAATTTTTAAATATTCTTTCCATATATTTCTATATTAACTTTTATGAATATGTAATTAATTTACATTTTTGAATTTCAAATTTATATTGAAGTTTGCTCTAAATTTGTTCTTTTATTTATATAGCAAGTATTTATTTATTATTTATAAAATGTACAATTAAAAGTGTTTGTGCCAAAAAATAATTGTTAGGAATTGATATATGTAAAATGTACAATCAACATGAATTTATTACGCATGATATGTGAAGTAGCAGAAAATAAGTGAACTAAAAAGAACAGATTCACTATATACGTATATCGAAAGCAATATGGCTTCTCTGTGTGTAGTAGTGCTGGCGCTAAAGGTTCGTAGGTTAATGTACAATTCTTAAAATTGTTTATTAAAATATAACAAAACTTATGTATTTTACAGAATAATCTTTATGTATTTACAGGCTAATCTTTAATGATATAAAGATGAAAACGTTACGTCATCCGCTTTAAAACAATTTTGCTCAACCGAGATATAAGAACTCCTTATCAAATATATCTTCATGTGAGTAATTATTATTAGTTTTTTTGTAATATTGTTATGAATATTATTTTGTTGCATTCACGTATTGTGCTTTTACAAATCTTACTTTTAATTATATTATTATCACATATGCTAAATGTTGTGTTTCGAGTTTTTATCTGTATTTAAGATTTTATAAACTTTTGTGACGGTTTATTGCCGTTATTCATATATAATTGTGCAAATAAGTAAAAAATATTGAGAAAAGATCTAATTGATGAATGAAATTGATTAAACAGAATAATGGAGCACACAGTTCCATCCGATATTCTTGATGATCTCAGCAGGTTAGTTTTTATAGAATAAGTAAAACAATAACAATGCATTGCTTAATAGAGAAAGTAATGGTTGAATCACAAGTATATATTCTTAGCATAATTAGTTATAATATATTTTTACATTCACATTTGATTTTTTATATTTTATTCTTATAGCCGATTCATCATTAATGTGCCTGAAGAGGAGAGAAAAGACTTAGTGCGAATTTGCTTTCAAATCGAATTGGCGCACTGGTTTTACCTTGACTTCTATTGCACAGAAGAGAATCCTAAGCTGAAGTCATGCAGCATGAAGGAGTTTGCCACTCATATATTTAAGCACATACCTTTCTTGAAACCACACGTGCAGCACATTGACGCTGTGCTTGAACAATGGAGAGAGTACAAGCAGAATGTGCCGACGTTTGGGGCAATTGTGCTAAACGAAGACATGACCAAGGTACTGCTCGTACAGAGCTATTGGGCGAAAAATAGTTGGAGCTTTCCTAAGGGAAAAGTAAATGAGGATGAAGAACCTTTACATTGTGCCATTCGAGAAGTATTGGAAGAAACTGGCTTTGATATATCTAATTTGATAGATAAGAATGAATATATTGAATCTGTGATAAACGACCAAGTAATAAGATTATACATTATCACGGGTGTGCAAAAAGACACGAAATTTGAACCAAAAACACGAAAAGAAATAAAGAATGTCGACTGGTTTGCCGTGGCAGATTTGCCCAACAATAAGAAAGATATGACACCTAAAATGAAAATTGGTGTTGGACCAAATGCGTTTTTTATGGTGGTACCTTTTGTCAAGTAATTGTTTAAAGTTTTTTATAAATTTTATATATTTATTGAAAAATTGTATTACATATGTATTGATCGCTCTGTTGTTTAGGCGGGTGAAGCGATGGATTCAAGAGAAACAACAACGTGAGAAAAATGCCATTGCGACTGTCCGAAGACAAAGACACAAATCCCTAGGGGATGTTGAGACAATTTCAAAGAATAAACGACAACAACAACCACTTTTCCATCAGTTTTCCACTTGTCCACCACAAGTAGGCAAATCTTTGATTTTTATTATTTTTTTTTTTTACATTTCCGTATAGACTAATTCTCATGTATACTTTCATGTGCATTTACAGACTGAAGTTCCTGATTTTAAAATCAACCGTCAGTCGAATACTTCTCCAGCTCGCACTCGTCGCAGTGATAATAAAAAAGATGTTTTGCCGAAAGGAGTTTTCAAACGGAATCTATTCGGGGAAAATGAGGAAAATCAATCCCCAGTTTTTAATAAACATTTGATAGATCACCCTGTTCAGCCGTTTCTGATCGATCCCGCCATTCAATCGATCAAATGTAACGATTTCAGTTATAAGACGCAATATTTGGAGAAAGAAGGTACATTGTGCTTGTATAATCTATATCTTATCTCTATTAAGTTTAAGACCGTAAAAGAATATATATTATAAATATAATTATTAATATTCAGATTATATAAATAATATTTATCTTTTAATATATGTTTTGATAACAATTCGACATTATTATTACTGTAATTAAAAATTAATTTCTTTCAGACTCTCGCAAGAAAAGTCTCCCAGAGGGAAATATCAAATCGCTTTTGTTCGGCGATGCTGCGCGCAAATTACAAAAAGATTTTAAAACAATTCCACCGCCCCCCTTTGTAAGTTTGGAACACGATGGCACGCCAGTTTTGAAGAAAAGTTACATGGACAATAAAGATAAGTTTGTCTTTGAATTTTGTTCAAAGGCTTGGGATAATTTTAAATTTAAGGAAGAAATATTTAAGACGTTAGAATTACATACAAATCGGTAATATGGGTTACCAAAATGAAGGATAGATTTTGAATAGAAGCAAAAATTATTAAATCATTCTTTTTATTAATCATTCGATTCATTATCTATCATTCATATTGTTCAGTACTGATATATCAGTATTAATACAAATATAAATTAATTTTAATTCTGATCTCAAAATTGTGATATGATGAAATTTTCATTGTAACATATATTGTATATACTGCATATATATTACTGAACCAACTCTGTATTTGTAATGTAATGATAATGGAAAATTAAATGTAAGTTACATTTTTAAATGTAGAAATTGACTTAAAAAAATCTCTTAGACATAAAATTCGGACAAGTTAAATGTGCAAATTGCAAACAATTTTCAATTTTAATTATAAATCCTTTATAAATTTGGACCATAATAGATAAACTTTGTATCTCTTCTATAAAATTTTGGTAACCCATATGTATTTACGATATGATGATAAATTAAGAAAAAAACCAGGTTATTCTTAAATCATATCGTACAAATAATGGTAAATAATTCATTTATAACTATAAAAAAATTATTACAGCGCATAAATAACATGATATTGTACATTTTGGTTTTGATATCAGCACTGTTCGCCGAACAAAGATCTGTTATATATTTATATATATTTATAACAAATTGACGTTAAATAATATTAATTAAATTAACGTCTATTAATATATAATGCATTTAACCCTTTCGCTCCTAACGCCGACTATAGTCGTCATCTTAATCGGAGTTAAAACAGTGAAGTAAAGAACGTATCTTGCATCCTATTGCTCAGATGCGTAATGCTAGGCGGCCTACATTGCCGTTCACTATAATCGCTACAGCGCAGCCGGCACTGTCGTAGCGAAAGGGTTAAAGAGAAAATAAAGGGCAATTATTAGGATAGAGACCAATACCACAATAGTAGTACAACGGTTAATAAGAGCAAATATTTTTTCCAAGGTGTGATGGCCCGTCTGTATACTTTTGATAATTTCGTTATTCAATTCAAAGACTATTTTACTTTCTTCGATAAGTTTATTTTTTGTGTCTTCATCCAATGTCTCTGCGATTCTGTTCATTGATTCTCGCAAGTCCTGTTTTAATTGAGATATACTACTTTGTCCAAAGTCTGTGACATCATGGCCCTTACTCGATGATTCATCTATAAAAGGCGCGATCCTTTTGGCTAATTCTCGCTTTTTGCGCAAAATAATACCGCCGCTGAGAAGGCCCATGTACAGATGGTATATATATGCCATTAATAGAGTGGGATCCGTGTCTTCCACTTCTCTCAAACGCATCAAATACTTGGCAACGCTTTCCCTAATATTCATAAAACAGTGAAAATTAAGAATAAGATCTTTTGTGGTAATACTTATAAGATTATTACCAAATGATTATCTATGGATGCAGAGCTATTATTAAGTTACTAAAAGATTGATATTCGTATCATTCATTGTAAAGCGAGAAAAAGATATAAAGTAATAGCACTTTTACTATATATCATTGTACATATTGCATATACCTAGGAGTATAGTTCTTCCTCCATTCCTTTCCCAAATAATGATCGAGATCTCGCTCAAAAGCTTCTGTGCGTTGAAGTTCACTGAATGGAAGCAATCCAATTTTGGTGTTCCTTAATCTAATCATTGCACCATCTAAGTAACGAAAGATCTCGTAGAAAACTAGAAGCCCATCAGCCCATACAGCATCATTGAAAGCCCCTAATTGGAATACATAAGACTGTAAGATACAAAACTAGAAATTATACATATTATTACATTGCAGTGATCACACAAGTTCGTGTGAATCGTTTCTCTGCTATGAGAAATCTATTGTCGACACAATTCTACATTTATTCATATATCAAAATATTTGTCAACAGGAAAAGCTATAATAGAACAGCTATAATAGAAGCTATAATAGAACATAAAACAAAGCTCATTGTCTTTTGATGTTTCATGAAGAAATCTTTGTTCACAAGTACATGATCAAATGTGCAATGTCTAGATTCAAATAGAATTCCCAATAGAGATCCTTTTCAAGAGATCCTTGCAGTGCCCTGTGGCCCTTACCGAAAAATAATTTCGACTTTACCAAGCCATCACTGCGGTGGTGTATTAATTTGGTGGCATTTGCCATTTTCTTGCAAAAGTTCTCCTCTGCTTCGTCCGGCATTTCAGCGAAGCACGTAATAATGTCACAAGAAAAACTTATTACTCGCCAAAAGCGTGAGATTCTCACATCGTCATATTGTCGCGTTTCTGCGCGTTTTCTCGGTTATCACGTGAAAATTATCGTCGCGAAAACACTGCGCCCATAACGTCGACACACATCGTCGACTGCTCTTGCGCACTGATGCGATCATATGGTCGCGACCGCGACGCCAAAATGTCATGAAATGTCGGTTTTACTATTCAGCGCGAAATCAATGTTGTGTTTGCACGCAATAATGCAGAAAACAATTATTGTCCATAAATGTTGCAACGATATAATAAGAAATATTTTAAATAAATAAAAAATCGCAGAAGGATTTAAAAAGCGCGGTTAAAAAGTTGAATCGCATAACGCGCGATCTATCGCTAATCGATAATTGATTCGAGATTTAGTGTCCGATATAAAATACTGAAATATATTCAAGGGATAGTTTTATGAGAAAGTGAAAAAGTGTGTGTCGCTCATCTGTAATGCAAAATAGCAAAAATCGGGCTCAAAAGATTATTTTTTTTTTAATACGTATTATTAATGCATTATATGGTTATTTTATTAATTCGATAGATCTATTCTTCAAAGTTATATGAATTATGAAATATATATATATGTTAATACGGAATATTATAATTTGGTTAGATTAGATTGCTGTAACCGTTATCGAACACTATGGTATTAATATTTTTAGTTACTATTTTATTAATATAAATATTGTAACTCAATGTTATTTTATATTGCTTTTAGTTGAGGTTTTATTCTTTGGAAGGACAAAATACCCGATAGGAGAATTGCAGAAGATACACCTACGGCACATTTACGCACAAAAAAGGTTATGTGATTTGGAATTACAATAAGATGGCAAAATTGCTGGCCAAGTGAGTGAATCCCTTTTTATATTAATATATTCTTAACGAATAACTATATATCATAAGATGCAGAATATGTACAAATGTTTTGAGATTGTTGACCATTTGTCAATATTTTAGTTCAGGTTTTTAATATCTAAATAGGACACATGCTAAATATAATTAATTATATCAAAAGAAAGAGAACAGTTAGAGAAGATTAGAATAAAAATTGGCGCATTGCAAAAATAGATATTATCAATAATCTTTAATTTATGCTTGTGATATGCGTATTTTAAAAGATTTTCTGAATCTTTTATCATATTTTATCGGTATTTATTGCACGATGCGACACGCGTATTCAGAGCGGGGTGCATTATGCGGTGTCGCAATCGCTTCATTGTCTCGCGGCAGAGAATCGCGCGGATCGCAAGATGTCGAGCTGCCGCGCAACATAGTAGGGAAGCATGAATTGCATGAAGTAGCGATCCGCGAGTATCCAGTGACGTATGCAAAATGCTTGTGTCGTATGCGCGGGCGTCGGGAGTCTCGCGGCGACGCGGCACGACGTCAGCCAGCTGTCAAACGCCAGCTGTACGCGCGTACCCACGCGTAGCGGAGCGCGGAGGAGTCCGTTGACCTTCGCCGAGGACGTGCCCATGTCCCCAGGCCGGGTCACATTAGAGTCTTGCGTTCGCAGGGGAACATGTTCGAGCGCGATCAGACTGGCAGCCGCGCGCTCGATAAGCGCCTCGGTGGGGAAGGAAGTAGGCCGCACGCGTTCTCTATCTTTCTATAGCTTCTGCAGTGGCGGACCGAGAGATGTCTATCTTTTCTAATTCTTCGCAATACTATTTAGACGCTTGAGGAAAATTAGAATTGCAATAAGACCTAATTGAATAGTGAAAGTTTCGCTATGTTGAAAAATAAATTTAGTTACTTGACGTTAATTCGATGCAACTTTGCGAAAATCAAGACGCTTTAAACGATACGTTCAAGGGGGATTCTAATGAAACTCCCGCAATAGTCTGGTTATTGTTAATTCGCTGGTTATGTTGAAACTCGCCGAGTCTAGTGCGCAATCCGCCACTGCGTATCCCCCGCTTCCTAACGGCGACTCACCCTCTCTGTCCCCGGTTCTTCTCCTGTTACCCTGTTTCCAAGTATTTGTCAAAGGCGGTACAACGCCGCGAGAGACTCCACCCAGACCGGTACGCGGTTTCGCAGTCGTTTCCTCCTTAGGTGCACCGGGTTATACTACCGCGACCCGGTCGCGTCCTTCGGCACCGTCGAGTTTTCTGGACACTCCTACGTTACGCCCTGTCGCATAACGAACCGTAGCTTATCGCAAGATATTGCAAGTCTATCGCGAAATAAATGCGAAATCACATTATTTATTTATTTAAATCGAATCTTGATAAAATTGATTTATATATATACAAAACTTACATATAAATTCATGAAATTTTAATTATTATCTACTTCTAAAACTAGCGGAAAGTTTAGGCGTAACATTGTTTTTATGAAATTAGGAGACCTTTTTTCGAACAAAAATGTCTAAGCAGAATTGCATCGTCGTTTAGCACAGTATTTTATAATTAGAAACCGTAGATCTCAAGATTCGGCTAAAATCTTTTTCTATATAAAGCTAATTTTATTTTTCTAATCATTTTATCTTATCTTTTTTTTTCTATTGCAAAGCGTGTTTTATGAGCCTATCAAAGATTTTGTCAGTCCTACTAAATTTCGATTATATGATTAGTTATCAATTATATATTTCGCGATGGGGGGATTCTTTGTTTGAAACTAAAAGTGGTCAGGAACAAGAGCAGCGTGTTTTATACCGTCCTATTACCTCGCAGTTTCGCAGTTGTGCCGACTGCTGCGAATTCCTCGGCAGCCGCGAGGCTGATAAAGCTCCACGGATGATATGCTGGCCTAGTCGCCGACGAAATGTATTGTCACTTGATTGTCAATCGGCTTTTTACCGAGGCCGTTATTAACACCGCGTTACTCTTATTATAGCTGTTGGGTCGTAGAAAGGATCTAGACGTGGCACGAAAAATAATCATCAATTCGCGTTATGCGTCGGGATCGTCAGGACCGATATTTATTTTCGCGGATTTACAGTGTCGTAAAAAATATCGTTACGTTCTCGTCGTTACAAAAATTACAATAAACACATATTTTGAAATTACTTATAATAATACTTATATTCATCGTTTCACGAGGTTAGAATACTGCGTCTGCAATGTTACACATGTGAATTCGTGATATAATTTTATCACGCCCGATTATTGAATATAAATATAAATTAATATGTTAATCGTGTATCTATTGTTTTTATCTATTTTTTTAGGGTTTATTATAAGCCGCGATGTTTCTTATTAAGATTGCTTAGGGGGAAAGAGAGAAATAAATTATATTATATTTAATCTAAGTTTAATATATTTTTTTCTTTTTTTATATCAAGGTGGCAACCACGAAATTATTTGGATCGATGTCACGCGACTGTAGTGAGTTTCTGTTCTCCTGCTTCGATATATAAAATTTTTCAGGGAAAAGCTTGTAATTTTGGTAGATTTAACGAAATGTTCAGGGAAGCGTGATGTAAAAAACAGTAACTCGAGTCGTAGAATTTTAATTACGATTAAAAAACTACTATAATAGGCATGTTTTAGGGAACATTATATCATACATAAACATGAGACAAAACGGAAACAAGAAATTTATATTAATATTTAAATATAAGAAACTTATTATATATAAAATTAAATTTACAGAGATATAATATTTCACTTGTAAATGTAATATGCAGGATACTCTCTATTAAATATAATTATTTAGACTTATACATGTATAAATTTAAAATCGTGTTTAATCTATTTTTTATATATAAAAATATATATAAAAAAATATTCTTGCATACTTAATATTTTTCTACGGAGAATTTAGATTGACTACAGAAGAAACGCTTTGCATCCTACACATCTAAAGAAATTTTCTTTATATTATAAGACAAATGTTCTAGGAATGTGAACAATGCTCGAACAATACATTTGGCAAATTGCAGTCGTCGCGAATGTCGCGTTGAATCGTGTAATTTCACAGCGCGACTCGGTATGACGTGTAACTGTAGTAAACTGTTTCAGATTCGCGAAATGGCAAAATGATATGGTCTCAATGATTTGTAGTATTCTAACGGGGCATTATTTAGATGGCTACACTCGGCTGTTCAGATGGTCACACTTGACTGAAGTTAAGTTCAGTCGACGTCACTAGGAGATCAGATTCGCCGGGAAGTAGTCGTATTACGAAAACAGGGTCAGAGATCAGTGTTAATAAAAATTCCTCTTTCTCACGTGATGCGAGAATCGCGGGATTGTTTCGCCGTGTTACGTTGCTTGTTACATTACATACTTAACAGACGCACAATGCATAATAACGCGTAGCGAAATGCAATTTTGCTATCCGCCTTACACATCGCTGATTATTCTGCTGTAGAATGTGAAAATAGCAATACTTTTGCATCGTGTTTTAGAATGCAATTTACAGCTGAACATTTTGATAATATTAAAAAAATAATCTTTTGTTAAAAAAAGGCGCCAACACGCGCAGAGAATCTCTTAGAAAAGCTAAGAGAAAATTTAAGAGAAAATTCGATGCGGCACTTTCGACGCGAATTTTTTTACGAATATTGTACGATATTTTGCATGATAATATCGATGCGTATTTTGTCACGTATTTGTTAGAACAAAGATATCATTTAAATATCATCGCGTAGAACTAGGATACGTTCGGCACTCTGCATAGCAAATGACGAAAGACAGAATGGAGGTCGGAAATTCTGTAATTAATTTTTGCGCTATCCGTTCCGGCGATGCTACACTTAAACTACTTGAGTACATGTTTTTCGTTCTTTTCATGCAAAAAATACTGTACAATACTGTACATCGCGCTTTGCAGTATTTAAAACATTTTACTATCTCATATTATATAGGATACGTAAAAATATATAATAATTAATTACAGAATAAAATATCCGTATGTTGAATTCGAAAGTGCAAACTATTAGTCGGTAATTTTTTATAGAGAATAATGTTAGTATTTATCGCAATTGCAATTTAGAAGAATAATTATTGTAGAGAAGGACAGTAGTATCTGAGTAGTGAGTGAAAGATAAGAGATCGATAGTTGAGACCATCAGATTCTCCAAAGTAGCAGAGCAGTAGAATAAAGCAAGAATATATAGGACGTTTCACAATCATATCATCC